TGTATCCAATTTTGGCTCGCGCATTGTGACATTTTTCGACAGTCGCGAGTTAAGTGACAGTTACATTGCCGCCTTGACCTACCCTGTGCGTCGAGCAAATGTATGGCAACTAGTGTTTGAAACATGTTTTTCGGTCAAAACCGAATTTTCTAACGACTGACAAATGCGAACTTTTTTGACCGAAAGATTATTTATTTAATCATTATGCTTATAAAATAGCAAAAGGCGGACTTAATGTCAAAAAGGCATTATCTACCAGTTAAACCGGTGAAGATGTACATAGCATTCAAAAGGCAGTATCATAAAAGAACATATAAAGCTACGATTCCTAAAGAACAATACCAAAATATTATGTATAAATTACAAATATATACATTCACACTATGAACATATATAAAAAATACATAAACAAATAAAAAGATTGATTTGTTTTTTGGTAGAAACCGAAACAAAGGTTCGACCTGCTTAATATGGCAATTTGCTTACCATTTCTCTTGTATTTATTTATTATTTACTTAAAGCTTTGCCTGCCTGTCTGCCTTTGCTGCCCTTTTATTCCGGGCTGGCAAGTACTTCAACAATTTGCGATAAACTTGATGTGTATTTATTCTGTTCAAGTTGTCACTCAGCAAAATAAATTGCTGTTAAACTACTAATTTTTTTATTGATTTCTCTTTCATTATATATAATGTTTTGTATTCGTTAATGAAGTCCAACAAATACAAGAAAGATAACATTTATTTTTGTGTTCTCTTTATATGTATGGTACTAGCTTATGCCCGCGACTACGTCCGCGTGGTAAAGTTACTTTAAGCAGCATTTCTAACGAATATTTATTAATTATATCGTGTAAAATACCTGAAATATAGATAGGGGTGGAATTCATCAAAATCTTTTCTTAGGGGATGCCTACGTCATAGTAGCTTTATGCGTGCAAAGTCTCAGCTCGATCGGTTTAAAATTGACAAAGTTTCATAAAAAAACTTTCATCCCCTATTTTATTCCCTTTGGGGTAGAATTGATCAAAATCCTTATAACATCTATCTGCATGCCAAATTTCAGCCCGATCCGTCCAGTGGTTTGGGCTGTGCGTTCATATTCAGTAACCTTTGAGTTATTTATATTTAGATTTGTATTTATATATGTTGAATGTTTAATTATTTCTTTATATCATAATTCGTCGACACTTATTCTAAGATACATAACTGTTAATTCACCTACGAAATTAAATTAAATAAAATAGTTCGTCATTCCAGTAAAATATTCTTGTGTTAACAGTGTTCCAGAAACTCAACGTAAGACATCTATTACGTTCCGTATCCTCAATTTTTATGAGGAAATGAGAAATAAATTGGCTACAGACGGTAATGCTTCCAGTTCAATCGTTATTCGCTAAACTTATATACAAATATAGATTTGTAGGTAGACTTTTCAAGGAAACATAGTACACGGCACGTAAGTTAACCTAGATGCAGGTCTTTTGTGTGCGTTATTAGCTCGATGGCGCAGTGGTTACGTAACGCCAAGCTAAGCAACTTTAACAGAGGCCAGTCATAAGATGGGTGACCATAAATTTATTATCTTAGGTTCGGTTGCATCTGCAGTCGTTAATACCTCCGTATTGGGCTCCCTTAAAGGGTCATGGTTCATTTTGCCTATTCGTTTCGATGCTATACATAGGGTAGACTTGTGCTTCAACAGTGGGGATTTTATTAAGCTGTTGATGATATAAGCTCTTCCTAATTAACAATTGCGTTGTGAGCAGTTTTTTTAAATATAACTTCATCACTTTTTATAGCCTTTTCAGTTATTTATCACGTAGGCGATTTTTTTGAGCCGAAAAAATGCATCGCACTCTATCTCTAACGCCTTGCGGGTGCGAGGCTAGATGGTATTATTTCCTGTCCTCGGAGATATATCCACTAAAACCTTTAAGGTGAAAGAGATCCGGGGTACGGTTACCTCGACTTTATTTAAAAAAATATATATATATTTTAAATGATTTCATTACTTTCTTGGCTAGATCAATAAGTAAACCAAAATTTATTAGGTCAATTATTCTGATATATTTTTATGTCGACGGAGAGGTCTCTTAGCTCTCAAGTTCAATATGCCATGCGTTTGTCACACTTAGTGATTTGTAAGGACAATATTTAGCAAGAAGGTCCACCATCGATGTCACGGCAGTCACGGGTTAATAGGGCTGCGAACGGTCCCGTGCAATTATTTGATTAGTCTGTCAATACTTATAAGACTACTTATAAAATTAAATTACCTAGTTTCAGAACCACAGTATTGTCTTTATATATGATCATCCGTGATTAAATATTGGTGACCTTGACGTATAATTTTTTTTTCTTTTATGATAACAAATGCGGATTTAAGGGCAAAACGCATTATTTAGCGGTCACCGGTTTGACTGGAATGCAAATGAATTCGCAGACGAAACTGATCTTAACTAAGTATAATAAATTAATTAACAATAAACAATAATTAAACCTTGTCTAAATATGTATGAAGTTGCTAATTTATATAAAAGGTTGATTGTCACATATTCTTTACATTTTATATCATAACTATCTGTTATAAATCAACGCTTATGTCACCCGTGTATGATAGTGCTCGGTCTAGTAGTTCCGTAGTCTATAGAAAAAAATAGTATAAAAAAAAATCTCTTTATAATATTATAATAGATAGAATCAAATAACAAAACAATTTATCACGATCATATCGTTTAATTCCGATTCAATTATTATAATAATATCCACATATGAAACATCTTTGGTTTATTAGCAACGTATTTTCTATTTACACATAAATGTATGATTAATACTATTTACATGTTTCTATATAATCTACAGTAAATTATATTTATTTGCAACATATGAGATTTTTGCAATAACAGTGTAAATAAATTTGAGTTTTTTTTTTTATAAAGCTGTAATTATAAATAGTACGTGACGCGTGTCGCCACGCGCGGGTAGATAAAATAGTTTGATTTAAACGACACATTAACGACGCTTATATTATTTAATCAAATTAAAGCGAGGGTTGGGTATATCAAAAATAACATGTAAATAGAATGAATGCACTCAATATACGTTCGTTACCTAGAATTTGCGGAGTAACTCTCGCAGGCCGCATTCGGAATAAAGAGAACGGAATGATGAGGTGAAAGATGTACTTTTAGGACCTTGAGGCGTTCGGTCCTCATTGCCAATCCCGCATGGGCTACAACGTGAAGATATAGATAGATAGATAGAACTTCATTACCCACGCGTGGTGACACGTAACGCAGGTTAGATATGATTCAGGCTTAATTCGTTCTGTCTGTCTTTAATTTAAATAATGTAAGTTATTATTATTATTATATTACAGTATTACGGAATTGACATTCTTATAATAAAATATATTTAGCGTAGGATAATTACGTAATTCCAAAAGTTTGCTCTATTCTTTAGTATTGCAAAGTGTTTAAAACAAAATAGTTTTTGTTATTTATACTGTGGTATGTGAATGGTGCAAAAGAATCCTCGAAACACAATTGTATATTAGTATTACCAGTGAAGCCCTTTTATTTTTTTATTGTAAACAGACAAATTCAGGTACTGCAATATTAAAATAATTAAATCTAACAATTAGAGTAATGACTCTTTTTACTCCATTAGAATTTTCTATAACTAACTCCAATAAAATCTCAAACATAACAACTGTAAGTTGGTTCCTTAAACATAATATCTTTATGCTTTAGCTTTGATTACTATATAAATAGTCTACCTTCTTATTAAAAGCGTTGAAAATGTTAAGGGGCAATACAAATTAGATAGAAGATCCGTTAACTTTCTCACAACCGACAACTCGTAGTGTGCGAGATCGAATATCGTTTGACATATTTGTCAGTTTTGGGGCCCAACTACGAGCTGCTTATTTCGTGCAGTGAGCGAGATACCGTTATTTTTTCCGTATAGCGCTGTTCCTGCACGAATTAAACATTTCTATGAGAGTTGATAGTAACCCCCTTGACCTTTTGTTTTGACGAATTTTCTATCAGATGATTAAAACTAAAATAATATAGATGGTGCCAGAAGAATTTTCATCATTAATAACCGTTAGGTTAATTACCAAATAAGAAAAATAAAAATGAAAACTAGAATAAAAAAATCTGAGTATTCGTCAAGTCACATAATCATAATTAGAAACTGGATATTAATAAAGACTCAAATCAACAATTCTATTATCTGAAAAACACTTTTCTAAGAATAGTAATTAATTAATTATAAACATTTAGGCTTTCGACCCATATTGGTCGGAAATTTAGGCGTTAAATTTTATCTATATCGTACATTTTTATTACATAAACATTTTATTTCTGTAATATTCATAATCCTTCGCGACTCGTTATTATAATGAATAGATTACTTTTAAAAACATTTACTGAAAAAAATATAGAGGTACATATATATTGTGGTATGCGTCATAATGCATTCATATATCTAAATATGTCGATAATTAGTTGAAAGAATCATTCGTGTTTTACATAAACTAAGATATCCAATCCTATTTATAATAATTCTAAATATTATTTCACTATTAATCTAGAAAGTAAAATGTGTATGTAAATACAATATGCAGTTACTATTATTTCTGCTATGCACAAATCATTCAGTCTTCATAAAATTAGTACAGTTCACTAAAGCTTCTAAATGCAAATTTAATATGCTCGAATTCATAGGTAAGTACAATTATGAGGTCATATTAAAGGCAGAAGTCTATTTGTGCGCTGCGATTTAACGAGTGATGCAGTTTATAGAAAGAAAAGATATATACTCTGTCTGTGAAGTAAGTACTATTTACAAAGTTACAGTTTATAACCGAAGCGTTCTTAATTAAAGTTCAAGATGTGACTTTCAGACGAAATGTGATCGTACATTTGCTCGGTTGACTGAGAGCGCGCCAATACCGGGATCCGAAGACGGACGAACACGCTCCCAGGGTGCCGGCTACCTCCTAGACTTACAATACTGGCACATCAATACTTTCTTAAATGCTTGTCTGAATACTTTATTAAATATAGTATAAAATATCGGATTCACCATCGAACTCGCATACCCCAACCATAACACGAAATCGAACACCCACGGCGAAATCCATCTCTCGCATTCCGGACATACTGCCGGCACCATATTTAAAATGAAAAACGGCGCCCAGAGTACGACAAAAGTAAAAAACACAACGCCAAGTACTTTTGTTGCTTTCTGCTCTAATCGTAATATTCTGCCGTGACGTGAGGAATTCCTAGAAATCACGCTAGAATTCCTCGAGTGATGGGTTCTAGGTGTTTGACGTTGGGGACTCGGTGTCACTATCTGTTGGGGGCGCGATGAAATCGATCTCTGTGCTCGTATGCTTCGAACCGGCGTTGAAAGTGTTGTTCGTGCACCTCCAAAACTAGAACCTCTTCTAAACCTTCTGGCTTCATCCCAAGTCACCATCGATGCTGCTCCTCGACTAGATCGTCTAAAGTATTGTGGTTCATCACTTTTCAAATTACCGTTTCTTGGATATCCATTACAGCCGTTAATATCTCCACCAGGAACTATAATCACCTCTGTAGTCCGCCTGGGTGGCGTCGAGTCTGTACCGAAATAAGGACAAGTGCACGGAGGGGGAAGCAGTAAGCCATCCTCCGAGCTTCTTGACTTAGCAGTCAAAGAAGCAGGAGCTAAAAGACCATCATTGCTTTCATCATCTGATGCACTTCTCGGTCTATGTAAAGGAGTGTTTGGATCGCACGTTGAAGACGGTCGTCTTCTGTCTTGAAGCATCGATGACGGTGAACTGGATGATACGCTTACGGATCCAGGAGTCAGCATACCGCCTCGTTCTGATATGTTAGTCCTGCGGACAACAAATCAGTTTTTTAACAGCTCTGAAATGATGATAGCTCTTTAGAGTAAAATAAACAAAGCAATTACAAAACACACAATAATTTCCGTTCCGTTCAAAAGAAATACTGCCGACACAAATAAACGTACAACATTGCAGTTTCTACAACACAGTGATCAAAGAAATAAAATAAAAAAAAACCGTTCACTTATTTTAAGAACATTCCTGAAACGATGTGGTGTCCCGTTTCAGCATATTCAGTAGTAGCTTAACATAATTATTCTCGCTACCACAGTGTCGAACACAGTAACGGTTTTGCGGTACAATTTTGAAGCGATACAGTTAGCCAATCGGTATACCCTCTGTACTGTGGTTTGATCGCGGCGGAAGCTTCCAAGCCACGCGAGAGACGCAACATCTCGGCCCCGAACTGGTGCAGTGCGGTCATGGCAGACGGCGCAGGCTCACTGTGCAACACAACACGGTATCAGGACTACACATCGACAACAACTCAGCACAATGCCAACATATAGCATACAATTATGGGTAACAATCTATGAACAACATGAAACAACACAACATAACATCTAACAGGAATATACCAATTTTGTATAATTTGTGTTAATGATGTCAACTTCTTATATGATTGAATTTTTCAACCAAAAGCACCTACTTTTTTGATTTCAGAAAAAGAAGACTCAAATATTATATAATAATTATGTTTCAAGATGTCTTTGTTAATTTAGTGAATCTTTACATTAAAAGTATAACTTCAAATGCGGTCTCTTAAAATTTCATTAGGACTAAAGATTTTTATGGTTTTTTGTTATCAATTCAATTGTGAATAAATTATTCAATCAGCAATCATTATTGTTGAACCTAAAATGAGATGATCATAAATTTTAGGTGATTATCAAACTATTTAAATTGATACTTCTTTGACACCATAATATTTATTTAATATTTCCATAACCGCCTCAAAAAAACATCTTACATTAATTAGGCTCAGAATCTTCAAATAAAATTAGCCCTGTCAAGATTATAAACAGATTGTCTTTCTAGAAGTATTTGCGTGCTGAAAGCAAACAATTTGTCTTTAATAAAGACATCATATTTACTATACTAGATAAAAAATAAGGTTTTATTACTTTGAATGAATAATTTAGCTTTATTGTTTGCCTCTTTGAGACAATACGACTATCTGCGACATTTATTAGAATTGGCATTTATAATATTTAAGACACATGGATGGATTCAGTGGATTTTCAGCAAAGAGAAACTACACTTAAGTGCGAAAGCCGAGCCTTTACATGTTACTCAAGTTGATGGAGTCGTTTAAAAATAATATTCTCCATATATTTTCAATAAACGAAACTTACTATCATGGCATATTTTTTTAGAAGCTTTGAGATATTAAGGACATTTTATGAAAGTGATTACTTTACATTCTAACATCATTTTAATCTTCTGGTTTTTATATTTGTACCTTTTTCAGTTCAAAGATAAAATTATGTAGTTATCGAAACTGTTTGTTCCACATTTACCACCAAATTCTTATACGATATTAAATAAGACATCTAAATATTTTAAAAATATAATCAATCTCTCACTTACTACTTTATGGAATATATATGATGTATTTTTTGTGCAAGAAATAAAATTCTAAAACTTTAACACAACCATTTGTTGAAAGAGAAATTCCTGATTTTAACAATAATCAAAGTTGTTTGGACTCTTAGCTAAGAAGACTCAGAGAAAAATGTATTAAGTAGGAAGGAAATGTTAAAATTTATATCATAAACACAAACATGACAAGAATAATCAAGAAACTGAAACTGTCATTCAATTTAAGTACAAAGTAGAACCGAAATAACGTAACAAAATACGCAATACAACAAAGCAGCTATAAACAAAATCTTTAATTACAATTGTTGTTTAGGAAAGTAAATTAATTTGACAATTAAAAAATTCAAAGACAAAGGTGACACAGTAGGTGCTATTAAATAAATTTAATTTCGTAGGATCGTTGTTTATAACCTCCATAAAAAAGATGATAATAATTTATTTAGGGATTTAGTAAGAAAGCTTTTTGAAATTTATTTCAATTACAGCTGATTTAATAGGAGCATATAAAATTAAATAGTGAAAATATTCCTTGTTTGAAACAATCCTTTGATAAGTCGGGAAATGGTCAAATACCATTCGGTTTTTGATGTAATGAAATACATGACATACTCGTACATGAAATAAATAATTAAAAGCCACACACAATATATTAGCCATTATGTAATATTTTGATTCGTAAGGCTTGTAATGAAAAGGGAAGTTAAGAGGGGATGATATAATATAGTAATAGATAGATAGAGGAGATATAATAAGTAATCATACCTTAAACTGGCAAAATAGAGCTAGAATTTTTGTAATCCATGAAAATATACTTTCTTGTTTGTATCTGACATTATTTTTCTATTTTGAAATGATTATAACATTTTAATTTGTTTGACATTCTGCAAATGATAATAATATAATTTAATTAATCAACTTTTAGTTTAATGTTTTTAATCATCAATATATTTACATACTATTGTTGATGGCTAAATGGGCTGTAGTCATTTAAATTTTATTGACATCTACAATGTACTTTATTTAAATATTATTATTTTTATCATCAGAAGTCAACAGCATCTACGTATTTTTCTAACTATATCAAAACTATGATTGTTTCTTCATCAATTATTATCTATATAATTTCTAACAAAATAGACCAACGATAAAGAAAAAGTAAATCCTAATAATAGAAAGAAGGGAGGATTGCTTCGTTTATTCATATGAAATAAGTTAAAGCAACCATAATCAGTCATGCATTTATCCCGCTTATCCATTAGGAAATCTGTAGATATAAATAGATGGTCTCAATCATAAGAATTCACTTTCTGTCGAATATAACATGGATTATTTGTCACTTGTGATTTATCAGTTCTTTTTTTGGATAACAGAAGCAACAATTCAGTGATACGTTCTCATTAGTACATGACATTTTGTTTATTTGTTTACAGCAAACAGGATGCTCTTTAAATATTAATACTTTGATACGGTGTTCTTTATTTACAAAATGCTAAAAGTAACTATTGGGGGTTGCATACATATGCTTTCAAATATAATCTGCCACATTGACAGCTTTTTGTATTACTGTCAAAAGAATAACCGATGTAAACGTTTGTATTGAAATCTTATGAATATATTAATAAAATAAATAGGCTATGGGCGTTCAAATAAGATTTTAAAAATCGTCGTGAAGAAGTCGTGAATTTTCTAGTTAAAAAGCAAAAATGTCGGCAGAAGTGTCGATCGAAGTCAGTGGTATAAAAAAGCTGAGAGGTACTTCAGATTATCGAAACTGGAAGTTTCAGGTAGAAACTACCTAGAAAACAAGAACTGGTGGTGTTTGTTGAAAAGGACATTGACGATAAAGACAAAGATACTTATAGAAGATCTTCCCCCAAAAAACTCAAATGTGATCGGTCCTGCGCCTCCCGCATCCAGCGGCTTATCGCGACCTTCACCAGATCGTTGGTCCTCCTTGTGGGGGGCCTACCAACGCTGCGTCTCCCGTTACGCGGTCGCCACTCCAGGATCTTCCAACGAGTGTCAGTCCTGCGAGCGATGTGCCCTGCCCTTTGAGGTTCGCAATCCTTTGGGCTATGTCGGTGGTTTTCGTTCTTTTACAGATCTTATCATTTCTAATTCGATCTCGCAAAGAAACCGTCATGTACTCCCCGTTTATATTGATGCCAAGTCCTCTCCAGTCCAAAAGCTTAAACACTTCCTCCAGCGCGGCAGTGATATAACATCGTCCTGTCGCACTCCACGCCGAAGTCGTATTGCTTTCGAGTTTTGGTCCTGGAACCGAACTGACACGGTGGCGTTTTCATACAGTGCCTGCAACACTTGGATGTATTGATAGTCTATTTGGCACGTCTGGAGAGACCTAAGCACGGCCCAGGTCTCGACGGAGTCAAAGGCTTTCTCATAGTCCACAAACGCCAAGCACAGTGGCAGATTATACTCCTCAGATTTCTGTATAACCTGTCGCAGCGTATGAATGTGGTACTGTATGTAACCTTTCCGGAAATCGGTTTGTTCGGGAGGCTGGAAGTCGTCGTTGTGCGAGACGATTCGTGATGACTCTCGAAAACAGCTTGTATAGTTGTAGACATGACTCAGAAGCGTGATGGGTCTATAAATCTTCAATTGGGCCTTGTCACCCTTTTTGAAGAAAAGAAGCACCACGCCCCCGTACCATGCTTCTGGCGTCTTGCCCTCGAGTATGGCGGAGTTAATAGCTTCTGAAGTGCTTTCCGGACTGGAAGTCCACTTGCTTTAAGAAACTCTGCTATGACTCCGTCATCTCCCGGCGCCTTGTAGTTCTTGAGCTGTTTGAGAGCCACACTAATCTCTTATAGACTGACGTCCGGGATGTCTTCGGTATAATGTCGGGTTAATTTGGCTCTAGGGTCTGTAGTCTTAATGGCAGGTTTCTGTGATGTTGCGTATAACTGTCCATAAAAGCGTTCGATCTCCGCCACAAGCTCAGGACATGATGTAACGACTCTGCCGTCCTCTGTCTTCACCTTCGTCAGCAAGCTTTGACTGAGAGACAGATCTCTAGCGAACACTTTGGAGCCTTTATTCCGCTCAATCATCTCCTTAATACATTGAGTATTAAATTGGCGTATATCGCGTGTGAGATAATTCGAGATCTGTCTATTGAGTTGTCGATGAGCATCTTCAGAAGGCTGCATAACCATTCCACGCCTTTCTTCGATGAGCTTGCTTGTCTGCTCTGAAATCTTGCTTCTTTTTGGAATACGGCGAGATTTGATTTATTTTTAACCCACCGTAAGAACAGCTTCTAAAATCCTGTTACAATGCACCTCTTATCATACGGTGATTGTTTCCCGTATTAAATGAATTGATCACTGAGACGTCATTGAATATCCGAGTCTTAGTCGACATGATGAACTCAATCTCGCTTTTTGTCACCCCATCTGGACTCTTCCAGATCCACTTTCGATGCAGCCGTTTTTTGAAGAAGGAGTTCATCATATAGAGTACCTCCGTCTCTATGAAGTCGGCTAGCATTTGACCGCGGTGATTCCCACAAATTGCCCCACTTTCAACTCCTTATCGCCACGCTTGCCTAGCACAGTGTAGTGGGTCGTGAAACCATGCATTACCCGAGTAATGTCCTCATACATGGCTTCCACTTCCTCGTTGGGGTGTGTCGAGATCCGGGCGTAAATCTGTATGACTTTCGGCGAATACCGTTTGGTGAGTCTGAGCATGAGGACGATAAACCCGACACCACCTTGGGACAGATCTTCGCCCTCCTGGAAATAGAGCAGGTTGCCGGATTTAAGGATCATCGTGTGCTCGCCCTCTCTACGGACTTCGGAGAATCCTACAA